TCCCAGATGCTGGGATTACAGGTGTTCCCCACCATGCTTGGCTTATTATTGTCTATTGGATAGGGTTTATGGGGTTTCTATTCTACATGCCAAAGCATAACTACTAAGTGTTGGAACTTGGACCTCAAATCAGGTCATATTTCTAAATCTACAGAAAATCTCTCTTAAAATTTAAATCTTGAATGTTCCCAAAAGGCCCATATGCAGATGCTTGGTCCTCAGCTCAGTGCTCATAGGAGATGGTGAGGCCTACTAAGAAATCTTTAGCTCACTGGGGACATATCCATGAAAGGGACTGTGAGACTCTGGTCCTTTGTTTTATTCCCTACTCACCATGAAGTAAGCAGTTTTGCTTCACCACATATTCCTACCATGAGCAACAGGGTCAATCAGTCATAAGAACCACCAAAACTGGGATCCAAAATAAATACTTTTTTCTTTATAAGTTGAAGCCTCTACTTAGGTATTTACTACAGTAATGGAAGGCTGACTAACATAATGTCATACTACTGGAGGTAGAGAAGGGGAATAATATTTAAATGATAGTGGAATGGTGTATAATCTTGATGCTTAGCTATTATTACCTACTGAAACAGATCGCTGAATTTACAAAATACCTAAAACAGGACAAATTTGGACTATATGTTTTCAGGCATCCCCTAAAAACCAGTTGTTATGCTTTAAAATGTAGGCACTAGGAGACATAAAATAAGACTAAGCTCTTTCCCCTAAAATTCTTACAAATTAGTGGATGAAACATATGTATGAACAAGACAGTCACAGAACAATATAACAACAACAAAAGAGAAGAATGCTGAGAAGAGCAGAGAGGAATGATTTAGAAGGAATGGAAGAAAGAATTTAAATCTAAATTAAACTTTAAAAAACAAATCCAGGCAAAGAGAGGATAGCAGGACATTACAACCAGAGAGAACAGCATTCACAAAAGCTAAGAGTAGAAAAGCACAAAGGTTGTACAGGGAAACGATACACAATTCAGTACTGGGGAAGAATATCGTAATTGCAGAGCAAAGAGACCTAAAGCAAGAGTTGAAAGGAGTGGCCAGATTGAAGAGATCCTTGTATGATATATTAAGGAAGCTGGACGTTATCCAGTAAGTAGGGTTTTCACAAGGGATGGCATAGTTAGGATATAATTTTAGAAAGATCATTTTGACAGGCATGTGAAGGAAGAATACGAGTGGTACAAACTGGAGGCAAAAAATCTAGTTAAGAATCTGTAGCAAAGATGATGAGAGCTCATTACATAGGAAAAGACATAGCAGGTACAAGAAATAAAAAAGCAAATAAATCAGCAGGACTAGGAAGGGACTGGGAGCAGGATAAAGACGTGAACAGGAAGAAAAGGCATGGAATGGATCCAGGTTTCTGCTCAGGCAGCTTAAGAACTGAGATATTGAATATAGGGGAAGAAATAGACAAAAATATCTTAAATTCAGTTTAGAGCATGTCAAGTCCAAAAAAGTAAAGTAGTGATGTCTTACAGCCAAGTGAATATCATAACCCAGTGCTCAGCAGAGCAGACTAAACTGAAGAAATGTAAGTGTGGCAGTAAGCTGCACACAGGTTCTAACTAAAACCTTAGTCAAAGTGATTAACAAGAGAGAAGATATACTCTTGGCCAGAATTTCATTAAATACCAACATCAAGTACTATGCAAAGAAAAACCAGAAGAGAAATCCCAGGACACAATGGGAGAGATTATCTCAAGAAAGAGATGGCAATCAACAAAACAAAGTAGTCTAGAAATAAATCCAGAAAAAAATAATAGCTCAAAATTGTCTACCTGACTTCAAGATGGGGTTCGTGAGTACTCCCCAAAAATGTGGGGTTTTGGCACCAGAGACAGCAGGAGAACACTGGACTGCACTTGTCTTCCTCCTGCCCTTCTCCCTTGCAGGTAGGTTATAAAACCTAGAAAGGGTTTTCTGACTTTTCCTTAAAACAGGTCTTGAGACCCTCATTTGAGAGATGCCCTCCCTGTACCTGGAGGAAAGAAATACCTTCATCTCTGAAGTCACAGGGACACAAGGAAGGATCTGCACAAACAGGCCTTGCGCAGTTCCCCTTAGTTTATTACTAGATTGTACCCCCTTTCTCCATCACACTTCCCCACAAGGATCTGCCTCTTCATCAAACCTAAACATAAAAATGCACAAGTTGATGTTTCTATAGGTCTTCATTTCCGAAGGTTCTCATACCATTTAAAACTTACATTAAATACATTTGTAGGTTTTTCTCTTGCTAGTCTGTCTTTTGTAACAAGGACATCAGCAATGAACCTAAGATGGAAAATAGTCCCCTACGTTAGAAATTAAGTGGCCACTGAAGAATTCATTAAAAGTGGCTTCAATCAGGTGGATATGGGAGGGGCTAGGCAGCAGCAGGTAAGAAGTACAAACAACTGAGTACAGACCATCTTTTGGAAAATTCTAATCACAGGCAAGAAATTCACAATTTAAAGGACATTGGAAAGATCAACTCTAAAATCCTTTGCAGTTCTCGTGCTCTACTTTTTTCCAAGTGGGTAAAAATCCTATTTGATGAAATCTTACTAAAACCCACATAGAGGGGCTGGGGATTTAGCTCAGCGGCATGGCGCCTGCCTGGCAAGCATAAGGTCGTGAGTTCGATTCCCAGTACCAGAAAAACAACAACAACAAAAACCCACATAGATTAAATTTGAAGTAAATTTTAATTATTCAAAAATGCAGCACTCAACTTGTAGCCCTTTAACATTTCCCAGAATACCTTAGAAATATCTCATAAAATAATCTTTTTACACCATATATGAAAAGGAGACAGAGAAAAGGGAAGCTTCTCTTGTTCCAATTATGCCCTTTCTTAATGCTTCACAGAAACTTTTTTTTTTCACTCTCTACCTGGAAGTCCTCCTGTGTTTTAGTTTAACTCCTATTTAATCTTCAAGGCCTGCTCAAAGTTCACCTTACAGGATGACAAACTACATAAAGTTCAGTGAATTTAAGTGTTTCTGCCGTGCTGATGAAGCAAGTAAAGATCACAGTTTCAGAGAATGACGTGGCCAAAGTTATATTCATGGCTTGTGCCAAAGCTGAAATAGGAAGCATTTCTTCAACTACTACATCTCCTTACATTCACTACTACCTTAAGTAATTATTATTATTTAAGATTACAATAAATCAAGTTTTAAAAATAATCTATTTACTATGAAGTCCAATTAATAATACTCCTGAAAACTAAGGAGCTACTCTACAGCTTGTTAGTTTGAGACAAGTAAACTAATCTGATTATACAAGTGAAGACTACAGATGTCAACTAGTATTTATTTCCTGGATAAGCTGGCTGTCAGTCACTAAGCAGGATCCCTCCCCATGAGTGCAGCACTTATTTCAGCCTCTGCCAGTGGAAGTGTTAGAGCAGATGTTGGCAGACTGTGACATACAGTATATCTTTAAAACTTGGTGGGGTGTGAAATTTCATAAGGTCAAAAAATGCTGCATTTTGATCAGCAGATACAAGAATTCTGTATTTTTACAAATTATTTCAGACAAACCAGTAGAATGCTAGTAAAAAAGACACTGGGTTTAGGTGGGATATGATAATGTATGATGCTAATGCCTTAAAAGGTAACTCCTATCAATTGAAAGTAAAAGTTCACCAATGATCTTTAGAATAAACATGTTTTTAAGTCAATTCAAAATACAAGATATTTCAACTGGCAGGAGGATTTTAAAAATAATTTCCTACTAAAATAAAGCCATTAATATCTAATGAACATATTGATGGGGGAAAAGATACTTTCTTTACTTAATACTTAATACAGTAATGGTCTCCTTTTTAAAAAATGAAATCCCTACACACAGGAATCCAGTATAAGTTAGTATCTTTATCATTCAGACAGCTCCACAAGTCCTTTGGTTTATCTTTTTCTTAAATAGGGGGGGGGAAAAAAGGATAAAAAGACTTAAGTTTTTATCACGGTAAATGAATTAAAATTGTAACATTCAAGGACTACTATTTTCTTGGATCTTTTTGTTATTTAATTGTATCTTAGCTTCAAATTTCCTGTGTATCTTTTCCAGTCATGGCTAGCAACATACAACCAAGGTAAAACTTAAGTTGTCTCATTAAAAAACTTATTTCAATGCCCAGCCAGGTGTGGTGGCGCACTCCTGTAATCCCAGCACTCGGGAGGCTGAGGCAGGAGGATCTCTGTGAGTTCGAGACCAGCCTGGGCTACAAAGTGAGCTCAAGGCCAGCCTGCAGTGCATAGTAAGACCCTGTCTCAAAAAAAAAAAAAAAAAAAAATTACCTCAATGATACACACTCTACCTTTCACATAATCATGACTTTAAAATGCTTTATTTCTGAATTAACACACAGAAAAATCCCTTCAGTGATAAATTAGTAAGCCTGGCCAGTCTGAAAAGTCTGGTGATAACATAATAACAACTATTGTCATTATCATCATCATCATCTTTCAGTTTATTTTGTGCTATGTTCAAACAAATACAAAATTTCTAAATAAATGATAAACATTGTTGTTGATTTTTGTAAGGAAAAAAACATGAAATCTCCCCAGAAAATTTCTAATGTATATAACTGCTTTTCATCATACAATCAAGTAAATGACCTACAATTATGACAAAAAACTTTAATTAGAAATGTATTAAGCACTGTAAAATCTTGTGACCAAGCTCAAAGATTTTTGCTTACCTAAAGTACATATTTAGGAAATTACGTTTATTACATTTGACTTCTAAATGTGAAAAATATTAAACTATGTTATACTATATAAGAGTATATATTATTAATAAGTCTACACTAAGGTACTGAGACTTCTATCAAAGCTGAAAATTTTTCTGTGATTTCATATATATATATCTTTATTTATTTTCATTCATTCATTCCATGGGCTTCTCATATATCCTCAGATATTTGATTGATAAAAATCACACGAATAAATAAATATAAAGTGAATCAACAATTATACTTACTTGCCACTGAAAAGTTGTTGAGGGGATAAGGTAAATCCACATCTTGAGGTTTCTCTTTATATCCTATGAATGAGCCATCTGTCTTCAAAAGGAAGTATCTTGGCCTCCAGTTTTTTATATATTCTCCTACATGAAGAAAGCAAGCACGTTAATGCTGAAAAAATGAACAGCTGTTTTTAATGCAAAAAATTATGGTATAATATATGTCTTGTAACACTGGCCTCCAAACATTTAGTTAGGCAATTTTCTTTTAACTTAGCTTACAAAACAAAATACATAAGCCTACAATTAAGATTCAATGAAAACCCAAACGTATTTTGTTTTTAATGAGTTCATACTTTGATAATTCATTTGCATCATTATTCCTTCAGAGAAGCATTCATCTGAGTACAAATTTATTTAGTTTTTCATTTTATCATAAGGTTACTAGAACTTATTTCTGGCCATTTTAAGAAAACTTGATAAATCATCCACACAATTTCTATAAATTTTGACGAAAAACACTTCTTGAAGAAAATGAAATAGATGTTTCTCTTCCATGTACCATTAATTGCATAATTTTTTTAAAAATTAGTTTTCACTATTAAATGTGACAATTTGTTTTTCATGTGAAAATAATCTTTCATATAATGCTGTAAACAAATCAAGAAATGGAAAGAACATGAGTTGATACAGTCTAAAACCATACCCTAAGTAACACACAAGAACAGAAGAGCACACAGCTGCATTGTTGTGACTGCCTGCCTCAAGGCTCTGAAATGATTTAAAAGGTTTGCCTTTCATGGTCATTTTGACTTCAGGGAAGAGGTACAAGACCCACCGTGGCAGATTCAGGGAATACGGTGGATGAGAGCACACTGTCATGTTTTTCTTTGACAGAAATCGCTGTATGTGATTTGAACTGATTCAAGACAATGAGGCAGCTGTGAAAAGATACTCAAGAAAGAGGACTTCCACAAGTGCTTCAGAAAGTGTCAGGAATGACTGGGTAAGTATGTTCCAAGTGAGGGGCAGTACTTTTGAGGGGGAGTTAATGGCAATGTGTCTTTTACTGTAACAAATTTTACATTTAAAGTCACTATATTTGTTGATCACACCTCATAATAACCAATAGATATATACCTTATTAGCTTTATAGATAAGCTTCCACTTAGCATCAAAACAGACTCCTAAATCTAAGTGAAAGAGTGCTCCACAGCACCACAAGACCTGACGAGCTATCTGGTTTCATTTTCTAGTTCTTCATTGGATCTTTCTATTTTGCTATTAAATCTCAAATGCTGAATCACAAAAGTCTTTGACTTCTCCCACTCCTTATGCCACCTGTAACTAAGTCAGCATAGACTTCACAAGTTTGTCGGTCAGCTTAAACCAAACTGGACCATTATTAATACCTTATATCTGATCCTCTACTAATGCTCTGTGACTGCCTTACCTCACTCTATTTCCCACCCCTTCCATTTTACTGTATCTTTCGCCTCACATTAATCTTATCCATGTGTACACCACTGTGATTTCATCATGGCTCTGCTCAAAGTACTCTGTGATGCCTTACTGTTTAATGAATAGTGCAAGTCTCTTACCATGAAATGTAACCTCACCCCAGACGCCCTTGAGATGTGGAATCACCTTTTAAATCAGCAATTCTCAGACTTATGTTAGAACTTCTTTACATCTTAAATATTACTCAAAACTCAATGAGTTTTCATGTAAAATATGTCTATAATATTTAGTAAAACATTAAATGATAAAACTGTAAACTTTTATTATTTCACTAAAAGTAAAAAAATTCATTGTGTAATATTAATATTTATTAAAAAAATAACTTTTCTAAAACCAAAAACAAAGTGAGAAGAGCAGCACAGCTTTGCATTTTAAAAAATCTCAACGTCTGCGTTAACTGAAATAGCTGGATTCTCTTCTCTGCTAACTGCGTTCAGTCTGCTGCAGTGTGTTATTTTCGTAGAATTATAGGAAAAAAATTTAACTGTAACAGACATGTAGCTAGAAAAGGGAAGATTGGTTGTTCAAACAGTTATGTATATAGTTCTTTGATACTATACCAGAATTCAACAAGGGGTAGTTTCTAAAAGGCTAGTTGTAGTATGGAATTCGAAACCTCAGGACAAATTTTCTGTGCTGTTATATGAAGACCCACAGACCTATCTTGCACTTTGAATGAATCTTATGCACTGTACATGACTTTCAAACATGTTTACCAATTTATGCTGAACACCGTTGATACCTTTCATATAATTATATTTGTTATCACTACAAATCTCACCGAAAGGTAAGCACTGAGAAGCTATCAAGCTCATAATGGCAGATACCGTTTCCCAAAAATCTAACCCTCACTTAAAAGCTCAATTTTCCTCGCTGTCAACAAATACTATCAGTCTTTTATCCTTGCACTGATACATTCTAAGTACCCAATTTAGAGACTATCACCTTGGCCAGTAAAACCAGAACGTTTAAGTTTGTAGTTTGCACTTTAAAAGATGAAATAATTCCTTTCTTGTCTCTATATAAAACTTGAAACCATTAGATAGTAACACTTCAATTAATGACAGATTTTTAAGCTGTTGTAAAGCTGTAACAGATTTATATTGGTACAGTATGTAAGTCTGTCAGGCTAAATAACAAGTAATAGTTTAATAATTACATCAAAGATAAAAATGAATTAAAGCCCATTTTGAGGGGAAAAAAAAAACAGAAGAAAACATGGGATAATACCATTTCTTTATATCATGAAATACAACTGAAGCTGGACATGGTGGTGCACAGCTACAACCCCAGCCCTCTGCAAGGCTGAAGTAGAAGGAGCATAAGCCAAGCCCAACCTGGGCAATTTGGGAAGACCCTGTCTCAAACTGAAAAGTAAAAAGTGCTAGGAATGCAGCTCAGTGTGAACATCCTGGGTTCAATCCCCAGTGCTGGAATAAAACAAAACAAGCAAAACAAAACAGTTAAAAAAATTATGTAGTCCATAAGCCAGACTTTTACTTGCCAAAAAAAATATTCTTTGCAAATAAATATATTATGCATCAGTTTTAACATTTGGGGCTGGGTGTGGTGGCGCACGCCTGTAATCTCAGCACTCGGGAGGCTAAGGCAGGAGGATCACCATGAGTTGAGGCCTGCCTGGGATACAAAGTGAGTTCAAACCAGCCTGGGCTGCATAGTGAAACCCTGTCTCAAAAAGGCAACAAACAAACAAACATTTGAGTTGATTCAGTTAAACAATATTTTTGCTGTCATAATAAGCTGAAAGTAGAGTATCAATGAAGATTCCTGAGTCTACTTTCTATTTTTGTCATTTTTCATCTTCAATATGAATTACTTACTTACTTGAATTACTTACTAAAACAATGCTTAGAATATATTCATTTATTTATTAATTTGTTCTAGGTGCTAGGGACACAAAGTGGACTCCTCCTTTCCCTCCAAAAAAGGACAATGTTTGTAACCTTCTAATATTCCACCAAGTCACTAGAGTTCAGGTGTTCCCTAAACATTTGCTGAAGAATACTAAATACTTCCTGAAAAAGCGATTTCTATTACAATTTTCAAGTAAAGTTCACATAAGAGCATGGTGTGTTGGCCCAGTTAAATACCCATTTCTTTAGTTCCAAAAATGGAAAGATAGGGTTGTTTTATCTCTAAAAGGTATGTGTCTTACAGAGGAGACAAACTCAACAGGTGTAGAACAAAAATAACAAAAAACACAAAATTTTCCCTCAAGCTTTACTGCTACTGAGTAGATCCAGTATGGAGAAGGTTCCTAGCCTGAAAGGATGTAAGACATTTTGGGGGAACACTGTGTATGCTGAGCACAAAGTAAGGAGGTAGAATTTTTCCTGCTCCCTACAGATAATTAGTTCCAACTGATCAAGAAAAGAGAACTGAGTACTTCTGTCACTCACTCAGTAGTTGAGGCAGACAGTTCAGATAAGGAACATGTTCTCAGACTGTCCTAAAATGCAGCTTAGTTCCCAGAACAAAGGTACCTTCCCTATATCCAAGCCTTTTAAGATAAACTGCTAAAAGTCAGCTACCATCTTATTTTTAAACAGTATTTGCAACTAAGTTTATAAAAATCGTACTTTTATATTTATAGGTAATAAGTTTCAACTAATTTAGATGATAGCTTATAGTAACAGAAAGAATTATCAGAAAAGAAGCATTTTAAGGGCTAGGGATGTAGCTCAGTGGCACAAGTGCCTGCCTGGCAAGTGCAAGGTCCTAAAGTTTGATTCCTGGCACCCCCCCCAAAAAAAGGAGCAGCATTTATAAGATACCAAGTTTCCAAAGAAATTTTCTACAGACACCCATCATTTGTATGCAATGCCATGATAAACCTTCAGGAAGCACTATAACGGGGTAAAATTTCCAATACAACCTCCTCCAGCTTTCTGTCTACCTTACCATACACTTTCACTTCTTTCTCATCCTTTTTGGTAAGGACTATATCTATTTTGAAGTTCATTGTTTACCAATACCAAAACACAGTTATATTTTATTTAACTACAGAGATATATTCTAAAAAACATGTTCTTAGGTGACTTTGCCATTGTAGAAACATCACAACATGTGTGTATACAAATCTAGATGGCACAGCCTACTATCAACCTAGAGTACAAGATATATGCATGTGCATAGTCTATAGCTGAGATAAACAAAACAGTAGGAGACTAAATCAAGCCTAAGAGGAAATGATGCCATCAGAAGATACCATAGGCACAAAATAATGAGATGATATGAGGCTCCTATGGGCACAACATAGCATATTGCTGCATAGCAAACATTTTTTTAATAGAGAGAGGTGACTCCACAATAATGATAAAAGTACTGTACATACATAAAGTATTCATAATGTAGTTGTTTATTATCAAATATGATACACTGTATATATTATATGTGCTGCTGTTAGCACATTTGTTTGTACCAGCTTCACCACATGCACAGGTAGTATCTTGCGTATGACTATCACTGTGTCATCAGGTGACAGCATAGCAGAAAATGCCTCCCCCTGCAGCCAGTATACTTCAGTTTCTGTTAGTTGTCCAGGTGACCTCCAGTGTGCTTCAGTTCACTTTAGTTCCTGTTACAGTCCCTGTTACTTCTTA